AAATCAATTAGTTTTTTAATTCTAATTTTATCATCTCCATTTTTTCTGAGCTGTTCAATTTTTCTCTCGAAAGACAACAGCTCTGTATGTACGTGTAGTGAGGTCCTCTCTGCAATCTCTGCAATGAAATCATGGAAAACAATAAAATAATCTTCGCCTTAGAATGCAAATTAAACGGATCACTTATTACTGTCCCATCTTATTGAACTTCAATCTGCACAAACTGGATATGCTTAAATGTTTGTATGGCTATTCACAACCCTGGTGCACTTAAGGATTTTCAAAAAAAAAATCCAAAAATATTCTTAATATGTTAACATCTCCTTCCTTATTTCCATCCTGACTAATGGCAATAACATATAGTTTGGAATCAATGATGAATAGCAATGCTAAATGTCATTTAAATATTACAAACTATTTTAAATCATCCCATCAAGTTTTACTTGTTCTTAATTATCTATCTTTGAAAAATGTTTCTTTAAATATAAAATCTGGTATTCCTTTACCCCAAAGAAATTTTAAATTGTAAAGGATAATGTGCCATACGTCCTAAAATACCTTGACAAAAAATTATGAAATTTTACTATGACTTTTGCATACACTAAATCAATGATTTGTGTATCCTACTGGAGTAATATTTAAAAAAAAAATAGAAACGTATTTTGAGAGATATGCATCTTTAATTTTGGTAGGAGTACAATGTTTACATCCAATTCGCATCAATTTTAGGCCCCATCCCATCCTTTGAAACTTGATGTATGTGGGTGCAAGGAGTACATTTTTCTCCTTTGGATGGTAAATGTATTTATCGAAATCTACCCATATATGTGAAAGGAAAAAACTGAGCCTAATTGCCTTCATATGTTTAAAATATTGTTAAATTCCATTTTGAGCAGATCAAGTGATGTATTTTTTGATGTGAGAATCAATTCTTATGCTAATTGAGGCACCGACGTACTTTTCCATCCAACCAATTTGCTGAGTTGCATGAGTGAGTATTTCAAAAACACTAGAAAAATAATGCTTGAAAACACATGCGAATACTTAATTGTCGAAGGGTAGTATGATATCAGGGGTACTACAGTTTTGTAAGTTGATTAATGGACAATAGGCTGCATGTATTCCCGTATATCAGTTAAGAGAAAAACCAAATGTTTTGCTTGGTCTCAAACGTAAGACGCTGAGATTCCATGCTTAATTGCATGCATAAAAGGATTTTGTTAAAAATTTGAAGTATGGAATATGTTAATTGTCATAAATCATGTGTCTGTGATACAAACATAAAAAATCAGCATGTTTCATCATTCAGTCATCGTATTGTTCAAATTGAGCCAAAAAATAACAATAATTATATACATACAACGTAAATTCGTTGGACATACATATCCCTATGTTGTCCTAGGACCCATTAGTTGTATTTGTCTTTATTTATGAAAGAACATACGGTCACAAACCAGGCCTAATATTGCTATAATTGGGGCTAAAATTCATTAAAAATGCAGTATTCTTTAATGTTACAAACGATACGAACTATTGAAACTATTATGAAGTGTCATTTTCCTTCATTCTTTTTCGAAAATTATCCAAAAAATATTGCAATTTTATGATAATTAATCGCTGTTAAAAGATGAAAAAAGTACAAAAATGACCTGTTTAGTAAAGAAAAAAGTGAAAACTGATTAGTGAAATGTAATAAATTGGCACAAAATTGCCTATGGGTCTTGCAGCAGATTAAAAAAAAAAAGAGGCCCATGGGCAACATCGCTCACCTGAGCAATGTGGCTAAGAAAAAAGCAGAAATCATTTTATTATTGAAATGTGTAAACCCAATAGTGGTCCCTACCAATCCTTAAAAGAGAGAAGGTATGATTTGAGCAAACTTGAATCTACATGAACTAAGGATGCTTGCATATTTCTTTGACTATACCCGTGGCTTTATTGCTCTTTACATTTGAACTAACATTGTCGTACAGTCCTACCTCCAGGGGTCATGACTTGAACAAATTTGAATCTACACTACCTGACAATACTTCCATATAAACAGGACTTATCATGGCTTTGCTATTCTTGAAAAGAAGAATTTTAATTTTTTTGTACATGTTTCTATGTAAAAACTTTGATTCCAAGTTGTAGCCCCGACCTACCCCCAGGAGTCAAGATTTTAAAAAAAAATTAAATGTCCCCTTCCTGAGGATGATTCCAAAAAAATATGATCATTTGCTATTCTTGAGAAGAAGATATTTAAAGATTTTTTAATATATATTTCTATGTAAACTTTGATCAACCATTGAAGCCCCGCCCTACCCGCAGGGGTCTTGATTAAACATACTTGAATTTCCACTACCAGAGGATGCTTCCATATAAATATGATCATTCATGCCTTTGCAATTCTTGAGAAGAAGATTTTAAAAGAATTTCTCTTTATATTTCTATTTAAAACCTAAATTGGCCATTGTGGCCCCATCCACTCCAGGGGTCATGAATTGAACAAACCTGAATCTACACTACCTGAGGATGCTTTCCTATAAGTTTCATCTTTCCTGGCCCAGTGGTTCTTGAGAAGATGATTTTTTAAAACATACCATCAAATTTTCATTATTTCTGAATTATCTCACCTTGAATAAGGGCGTTGCCCTTCATTTGAACAAACTTGAAGAAAAAATTCCCTTTACATAAAGATACTTTGTGCCAAGTTCGGTTGAAATTGATCCAATGGTTATTAAGAAAAAGTAAAAGATGTGAAAAGTTAACGACGACGACGACTATGGCTCAGGTGACCTAAAAAACATTATCCAAAGACTAGATAGGTCTTTTTAATTTATCAATAATTTATAAATCTATAAGAATACCAAAATAATCGAGAAAAATCTAGAATACAAATACTACAACTATTTCCATTTAGAATATTTAATAATATTGTGAAATTAGAAAACTCATTAAAATTCTCTTCATATAAATCTTCATGGCAAAAAGATAATCATTAGAGAAATATGTTTAGATAATAAACCTTTCTCTTCAGTCATTTCTCTCCTTTCTCTCTTTATCTGTTTTACTCCGCTTTCTCTTTCAATCTGTTTCCTTACTACTTTCAGTTGATATACATTGGATTTGAGCTTTTCGTTGAAATCTTCAGAGAGATTACTGAAATCTCCAAAGCTCTCCCCAGACTCTGCAAGACAACCAATTCCAGACTCATCCGTCTCATGAGTCCCTAAACAAGCGTAAAAAATATTTGTTTTTTTTTTATCACAAATAAATAGAATTAGGATTTTTATTCCATGACAATATTCTTTTGTATTTATTGCAGAAAAAAAAACATTATCTATACGTGTTATTAGAAAACTGATACAGACAGAGACTGTCCCTATTTCTTAATAATACATTACAAAATTGAAATACAAGAGAAAAAGAAATGAACTTTTTTATGTATTAAATTGAGTTTCAAATGAATAATACATTAAATTGGTATGTAATCAAACCTACTTTCCGATCGAATATGCTTTACGGGGCAGTATAAGATTTGACCACATGACCAACTTCAGAATGTATATAAGATATCCCATGATTTGTAGTATGAAAAGATTTTTATGCAGTGAGTTGTGTGGGGTTTTTTTATCCCCGAGCCTTGGCGAGGCATAAAAATAATATCATAGTACAAATCATGGGAGATTCTTTTCATCCCATGTTTCATTCTTCACAATCATTGTAAACTTAGTTTTTGTATATATAAAACTCTGCATTATTTTAATTGATAACTCATTGTAATCTCAAAAATGTGGCATATGAAAAGGATATCACATGAGCTATATGGATAAAGGGGTTAATATGGGATAAATTCATGTAAATCTCTAAAACCAATATTTTATTTCTTATCACATATCTCTTTTAACATTTTAATGAAAGAATCTACTGTGTTTCTTCTTGTCAAGTAATTCTAAAAAAATCCTATGAAAATGTTTCATTGAAACCAGAAGTCTCTTAAGTAACTTCAGCTCTGTTGTAATATATTTATAACAGGTTGAAATAAATCTAAAATTAGAATCGTACGATTCGTTTTCAAACACGTTATTCTATTTTTACCTGAGTGAGTAGGAATACGTGTATGACCGGTTAGCTGGTAATGTTAATAAAGGTGTGTTCCTTGTGTTTTGTCATTCGAGCTCAAGACTGCGTGCATTTCGATCACAATTCGCCCCCTCCCTCCCGTAAGCTATATTCTTGTGTTGTTGTATTAATGTTTATGAATGTTATTGAAGCACTTTATTAAATGTTGAGCAATGTCGTCAATTAAATGCGCAGGTCTTGGACTGCTACCCATAATACAGGTGTTTTGTTTTGATTTTTGAATGAGGGTATAAATAATTTATGTTCGGTTGAGATTGGACGAATTAGAACATAAGTTTTAAGATGATGATAACAATAACAACAATTCTGGATCTAATTGTTTAGAAAAACCGACTTGTGACTGTATCATGTCATGTTAAATCTAATTTTCCAAATTTACACAGAAAAAAGATGAATTTGCATGCAAACTGTGTAATAACTATGCATAAAATCTATGTGAAACTAGTCACATGGTTTTTGTTTTATTTTCACATAAATCTAATGCAAAAAGGAAGATCAACGCATAAAAATCATATGAGCCACTCAAAATATTATAAAACTTTTTACATTGTATTACAAAGTATTACATATTTCAAGACTGACTGGACTACTGTTCAGTTGCACATTTTATCTATATGGATCGAAATAAAATTCAGTATGCATGGCTACATGTAAATACATTCTAATTACATTGCTAACTGAATCGTATTTGCCATGGTCAACTAATAAAACATCCATTTATATTAATCAATGACACAGGTTGTATAAGGATGAGATCATTTTGGTAAGTCAATTTGTACTTTAAATCGCAAGTATTTTCAAATCGCTTAACAAACCTTTTCTAGACTGGATTTCTATGATAATATGCCTGTTGTGTTCTTCAGCTATGGTACATTCCACACACAAGGGAACACCGCAGTTTATACAATACCTTATTGCAGTATCACTGGGATGCTTATCACATTTCACGTTCTGTAGAGAACTGTAAGAGAAGTCTGTAAGAATTGTGTTTTATTAGTACTTGATACATGTATATATAATCCTGTGTAAAAGAAAATTTACACCCTTTTTTTACCAATTGTGTTTCAAATTTAATTGACGCCTATCTTAATCTTGTGAAATTTTGTTAAGAAATCTGCTAGATTATCATTGTGTGCAATACACAAAGTAAACATGTTAAAGAAAGAATATATTAGCAAACCCCCTTAATAAGATATATTATCATTCTATTAATTTCATGACTTTTACTACTTTGTGTAAATTATGTCTTTCATTCTTTTTCGAAAGCCTGTATAAATAAAGTTATATTTTCTGAATTATCATAAAGAATACACATTAAATACCACTTACAATTCAGAGAGAGGTCATATATGCAACTGTATATGTTGACTGTGTTGTTAGATGACCCTACAAACAGTGTGTGGGTTGTATAATCATAGCTCAGGCCCAGTGGTTTGTCTATCCCATGTTGTGGTGTCAGGATCTGTGACAGGAAGTGACGGTCACAGTCAATTATCTGTACTGACTGGGTGATCCAATCACACACCAGGATATGTGACAGAGCGTCAGTACAGATTCCTAGTGGTAAAAGTCCTGAACCTGACGGAGGGCCTGAGTAGGTGAAGCGATGTCTTCCTCCACAGTTTGTCACCACTATAGCATTTCTGTACGATTCAGACACAATAACATCTCCATTGCGGTTCTCTGTGATATAGTTAGGTCCACTATAATGTCCCTGGCCTGTGCTGTTGTCATAATGTATGGTCTGGATGTTTTTTCCTGTGGAATTATATCGGACTACTTTGGTTGTAGGAGTATATGTATGACACATCCCAACCAGCAGATCTCCAGTGGAGGGAGAGCTGAAGACACACCGTGGTATCCATGGTACTGCATTGTACTTTATAAATGCAGTCTTTACTTTGTCTGTAGACAGTTTGTTAATGTTATAATCACTGTCTATATAAATTAACTCACCGTCACAGTTTACAGTGTGTACTCCAGCACCACTTGCTATATCTGTCAGATAAAGTAGTTCATCCCCTGCTGTGTTTGTCAAGACATGATTTTTACCATCACTGATCCAGACTCGATCTGATGAAACATGAGAAATGTGACGACCATACCTAATACCTGGCACTCTGACAGATTTCTGTTTCACAAATCTAGACATCATTCACAGCAGACGTTTATTTCCAACTTGTTTTTTTTTTTTTGCATTCACTTCATGACAAAATCATGTGTAGATTTCCTCAAGGATATTTTTCTGCAAATTACAGCATTGTGGTAAACTAATTCTAACTAAAGGCAATAATGTGTTGTTTTTTTATTATTCTTTAAATCAAAAATTTGACTCTCTTTAGATTGAATTAAATGTGCCAAGTTCATTTTCATATCTTTAATATTGTGTATGTTTAACTTAACTTATTTACATATCATACTTTTTTCTCTTTTCACACAGATTTGAACAGAGCATTTCCTAGGTTAATAAAACATTTTAAAACTGTAGTCAAAACAAATGTACACACCGCTGTTGAATCTTTGACTAAGTTGATTTGGCAAACGAATCTGATATTGGAATTGAATCTGACAAAAAAAAACAACAAAAATACTTGCATTACAATTAATCATGAAGGATGTGTGGTAAAAGCATTTTAATGTTCATCTCTGAAGAAACTGTAGCTTAACTGGTTTGTACTCAGAGAGAGAGAGAGAGAGAGAGAGAGAGAGAGTCTCTTTTGGACTTCAAATAATTAAACAGCAAAATAATGATTGTTTTTTCCTTTATTTCAAACTTTATTGAAATCAAACTAAAGTCAACCTCTAGGAGATGTTGCCTCACGAGAGAATCTACAGAAATTCATATTTTAATAACCATATCAACACTGTTCATAAAGGTAAAAAAGCCATGAAAAAATTATATGTTACTCAAAGTAGTGTACTTACATGTCAAGTTATATAAAAATCAGGGAAAAAATGTACAGGGGGTACTTTTTGAGAAATATCAAAACAATTTTTATGTTTATTTAATAGCCATGACCTCTCTGTGTATCAAATCGAAAATCAACAAATCTAATCGTGTATTATATATATTCCTATTACTACAATGAGTTAAAGTAGTTATTGATAAGATTACCTACTTAGGAGGGATATTGCATTGCCGACGTATCCATGAGAATTATATTGTATTTAATCAAATTCCCAATAATATATTTCAATAAGACAATTGGTTTTATACAATGACTAAAAAAATGAACACTATAAAACAATTAAGATGCGAGGTCCGTTCAAAAATTACTCGGATTTGTTGCACAGAAAAAATAATCCGGCAAACTGTCACACATAATATAAAAGAATCTTTACTTATATGGTCTTCAAAATTTCATATCAAAATTTTGTAAATTGGTATCAATTTTGAAGGATTTTTCAGGACATATCATTAAGTCACGGAGCAGCAAAATCTTCGACGCCACAGGTAGTATAAAAAAATGTGATTGAGCTTTCATTTTCTCAACACTTTCCCAAGAGTACCTGTACAGTTTGAGCTACCTTAAGGCTCTTTCACAATTGGCACACGAGCAGAAGCGACAAAATATTCGTGCGACCGAATATTTTGTTTATGATCTTTTGCCAAAATAATCGCATTTGAAAAAAGTGTTCGTACAAAATTCGCACGATCTAAAGCGATTGTTGTGCATTAAATTTTGCGGTATATCTTGCCTCTATATGCGACTGTTGTAGAATGAAAGCGAGTGCTGTAAGATAATGCGATAGGATTACACGACTGATCAGGTAATTGGACGATTGAACGTGCGACAATACGACTGCTCGTGCGCTCATGCATTCCATTGTACGAATGTTCGTGCGAGTCTGAGAGCCGGGTATATATACCACCCGTTTCCGACGCTCTTCAGTTGACATAGTTACGATGCTTATAATTATACACGGTATAATATATACCTGTTGCAAAGCACGACAAATGAAGGTGATAAATCAAGCAATGGTAGTAAAACGTTGCAGGATTACATGAGACTTGTTGAGCAACAGTCTCATGGTCGCAAAACACACGCAAAGACAGCTGCGATTAATCTTACTATTTTTAAAAATCGTGCATCAGTCTTATGAGTACATAAATCGTTGTAAAACGTTCGCACTAATATTCCTGCGTTGAATTGCGATAATTTGGATCGCATTTGGTCGCGTCTGAATAGTGTGCATGTTGACTATTTTGAAGAGACCTGATGTGACCACTAAAACATGCTATTCATTGGCTTATCTTTTCCTTATTATTGTAAAAATTTCATACTTGTCCGTTATGGGCTCTAAATTAGAAATAAAATGTTCTGTTCTGTTCTGTTCATGCAATGAATGCGAGACATCGTGCAATGTATGCGATAGCTCGTGCGAAACTAAACTTTTCTCATCGCAAAGTGTTGTAAAGTGCTCGTGCGCCAATTATGAAAGGGCCTTTATCTACTCAACATGCAAACACGATTTTTTGTCAAGCTTATATGTAACATCTATCAAAGAAGTAAAGAATAATCTTTTTATTAGTTTTAAAACCAAAAACTATAGGTATTTATGAGATATAGCGTGTCATTTGTCACTCTCAATCACGTTCTTTACAATCCGAATAAAGTTTACGTTGAAAATCTTCTTCCCGTCCTCACGTATAGCCTTTTTACAGAGGTCTAACGATCTAAGATTTCAATAAGCTATTTTGGACAAATGTCATGAATACCCTAGTATACTTCATGTTTTATTATGCATATTTTGGATCTATTTTAGCGATATCTCGAGCATTACACATAATTTAACAAAATTGTGGTGCCCCGTCAATTCAGGAGACGTTATTTTCACATTCGTTTTCACGGAAATCGCATCAGAGAAAAACTCACTATATTTCTGTTAGTACTTCAAATATCATGTCAGAAATCTAGATACATAATAATAGAACACTTTAAAGAAACATTTGAGAAAACTGTCGAAAAATATCGCGAATTATAGAAAATTGATAAGCTAAATTTTGGATTCCACATGCTTTTCTTTCAGATTTTTTGTCGCGCTTCGTACCTCTACATCAACGATGAGAAAACTGTCGAAAAATATCGCGAATTATAGAAAATTGATAAGCTAAATTTTGGATTCCACATGCTTTTCTTTCAGATTTTTTGTCGCGCTTAGTACCTCTACATCAACGATATCTACATACCGATAATTTTAGTAGAACTTTTCCAGAATACAGAAATTTTGATCAAAATTTATTGAAATCTTTATTTCTGTGAAATTTCATAACTACATGTATATGACGTCCATAAGAGTAAATAATAGCAGAGTCCGCGTAATTTTTGAACGGCCCTCGTAATGAACAGTGATCGATTTAAAAAAAAAAATTTAGGTGCTTATGCCTAGGTCACATTTCCCTGTCGGTAGCCGTAGACCGGTGGTAATCGGTGGTCATCCGTGGTATTAACGATTCCCCTACATCGGTACACATCGGACTAGTAGTCCTTGAAGTATCAGTCACATTATCCAGCGATGGGTATACGATGGGCAACCAATGCGTTTTATGATAAAAATGGTGTGGTTGCCGGCCGGACTTACAAAGGCCCAGCGATGCATTGCTTATCATAAAACGATGTTCCAGGATAATCGGCCGATGTATATTACATCGCTCATACATTGGTGAACATCTTTTGTACATCGGTCGACTACAGGCCAATGTTTGGTCGAACATCGACCGATGATCGGCCGTTATCTGTTAAACACAAATCAACCCCCCGATGACCTCAGATTAAACGGAAATTGGACGATGCTCGGCCATACACCGGCCGATCCTTGAAAGACGTGTTAATGATGGGTTGCCGATGAGGAGCGATTAGAGGCATCGTTGGAGACATCGCTGAATTTTAACTACGAATTATTTCCTACCGATGACCCCACCGATTCGCAAAATGGCCTCAGTCACCGTCCGATCACTAGTGGTGCCCGGCCGGCAACCACGCCATTTCCATCAAAATACGCATCGGTTTCTAATCGTATACCCCATCGCTGGATAATGTGACTGATACTTTAGTCGGAGTAAGATTCTCCTGTCATATTCACCGTGTGCCTTTTCTGTTGATTGGGTAGCTGGACATTTCCGAAGCCAAATTCGATATAAAAACAAAGACGTAACAGTGACTGTAGTATGAAACAGGATAGCCAAAATAAGGCCCAACAATAGGTTTTATTTAATAACAAGACCATTATAACGACCATATAGAATATTTACGAAATTCTGACTTTAAACGAGTCTGTTTAAATCTCTGAGATATCAACTTGTCTATATCAGAAATCTGTCCTGGCTTAAACTTCGCAGCTAGGTTAAGGACGCCCATAGGAGATATGCTTTAAAATATTCCAAGAAAATCAATATAATGGTGATATCCTTTTTTAAAAGCATGTTTTAGTTTAATGGGGATTCGAGTTCGGCCACTTCACGTATATCAGCTGCTTGTCACGTGACATGGTTAAAATTGGGGAAAAAAATATGCACGGATACGAAGATCGAAAAATTTCAACGATATACGGATAACTTTTCACTATGAAATTGTATTTTATTTAAGACAAATTTCGTAACCTGAAAAGTGCTGGGAACAACTTCCCCATGCCCGAGAAGTATGACGTCGCACACGGTATTGGTTCAAAAAGTTAAAAATTACTATTGCGGCAGGATTTGCGCTATTTTCATAATTTTAAAACAATTCACTATATGAAAACTAAATATCATTCGATCGGTAATTGTTTACTTAATACATTTAAACAAGAATGTTGTTAAAAAGAATTCCACTTGTCAAAGATATTAAATTGACTATTCCGTCAATTACGTGAAAAACACATGTAGACCGGTAACAGGGGCGTCGCACATGCAATTACAAAATGTTGATAACTTCCTTAAAACAAACAATACAAACTTAAAATTTGGCTGAAAAATTCAAAATCTGATGCAAATGACGTAAATTCTTAAAACTGTAATGTCATTCAATTCGTATGCTCTGAACGCGTCTCTCAAAATTTAGAATAATAATTACATGAGCTTAATCAATTTTTTAATTAAATCTCAATAATCCTTTTTGTGTGTTAAGAACTATATTTTATAAAAGACTGATATTTTGGGTGGATATGTATGTTGGATTTCTGATATTAAGCCGATTTATT